AAACATTAACAGACAGACAACCTTTTACAAAATAGCATCAGGTCCTGCTGATGTGGCCTCTCCCGGGGCTGCCGGGGCTTCCTCTCAACATGGTAGCTGGGCCCAGGATCAAGTATTCCAAGGAAGGCAGCTGTCGGTCTTCTTATAATCCAGACTCTGAAGTCCTGCAAGTTATTGAGACAGCCCAGATTCAAGGAGAAAGAAATTGGAGTTCATCTGTATACCAGGCAAGGTTCTCCAGAGAATTAGAATCAGTAGTGTCTGTCTATGTATCTATGTATCTATCTATCATCTATCTACCTATCTACCTATCTATATCTATGATGGTTTGGATCTTTAATTCCCCCAAGGCCCATGTGTTGAGGGTTTGGTTTCCAGCTGTGGCACTGTGGGAGCCTTAAGGAGGTGGATTAGATACTTTAATTTATAAAGAGGCAGAGTATATTTTAATTCATGGTTTCAGAGGTTTCAGGCTCCATTGCTTTGGGCCTGTGGCCAGGTTGAACATTATGGTGGGGACCACATAGTAGAACACTGCTCGCTTCATGGTGTCAGGAAGCACAGAGAGGAGGGGCTGGGGCTCAGCAGCTCCTTCAGGGCCAGGCCCAGTGACCTAACTTCCTGTTGCTATGGACTTGCCAACAGGTGGATCCACCTGGGGAGGAGCGGGATCTGTGTACCCAGCTGGCTGAGGGCTCCAGGAGCCTGCGGGACCAGAAGCTGGATTTGGTAGAGCTAGAAATCATGTGCATGGAGGAAGGAAAGTTTGGGCATCTCTCAATATTCCCTTGATTGCCACAGGAATCTATCATACAGCTCCATTCTTCAAAATCACCTCCCTCTGGGGGTCTGAGCACAGGGAGGCACTGTGGAGGGGCCAAGACCCCCACTCTGGGCATCAGGAGACAAGATGTGCCCTTTTTGTGGTCAACATCCCATTTCCCAGATGGGAGACTGAGCCCAGAGAGGACCAGCACTGCCCGCTGGCAAGCAAGGACTCTGTTCAGGGTCTCTGGCTCTGCCCTCCCCATGTGGACCCCCTTTGCTCCTGGCCCTTCTTGGCCTGCCTCCCTCCTCTCGAGTCTCCCCCTCTGACCTCTGACCTCTGACCTCTGGCCTCTGATTCTGAGGCTGAGTCAAGCCTCAGATGTGCTTTTCCAGGTGGGCTCTTTATCCCAGGATCTGACCCAGATGACTCTTGTGTGGCTGGATTTCTGGTTCTGGCATCTAGAAGTCATGGCTCAACCCATTCTCTGGGCTGTGTGAAGGCAGGACTTGAACTTTTGTCAGGTTGTGCAGTTGGTGAACCACAGGCTTCCGTTTTTGAACCCTACTTTTTAAAATTTTTTTTTAT